CTGCAAAGGGGATTGATTTTGATTATCTGAAGTAAATTATCATTGTTTTTCTTACAATACATAGTAAAGCACGGTACTTCGATAGGTTGCGACACCATTCTTGGACATTTGATTTGATTTAGTGTTGAACATTTGATTTGATTTGATTTTTTTTAAAAATTTTATGCTTGTAAGTGAGACATGAACATGAACAAACATGAAAACCTAAGGTCTACACGTAAGAATTTGTTTAATAACTTTTTAGCTGACGTTGAACCGTTAACACTCTTATTAATTGATAAACATACTTGTTATTCTACTTGCAATTATCTCGAGTGTTTCTTTTTCCATTTGGTGACAGGATCTTGTAAAGGAAGTTCAACGGACATTATACAGTTCTTTCTCAGAATTCCACGGCGATCTTGAAGAGGAGAACGAGCTGGAAACTCTTATCGACACACAGCTCGACATGCTAAGAAAATCATTTAGGATACCACACAGGGCATCGGAATCTGATGAAGCTCGTCTGAAGGTCTCAAAGAAGTTACTGACTCTATTTAGGATTGGAAAACTGGGTCCCTTCATTCTCGATAATCTTCCTCGTCATTGTGAACCCAAATCTTAACATATTTGTTCACTAACGTTATTAATTTCAGGCTTCCTCATATGTAAGATGTCACTTGGAAATATCCTATTATCCACATTTATATGGATCACAAAATATTTTGTGCAATTAGGCAATTAGCTAGCATCAACTTGAGGCTATTTGATTTGTAATTTTAAAAATAATGATAGGTTGTTCTGCAGGAATAGGACACCTGTATTGGACTTAATCGTTCACTCGTTTAATGTGCAAACTGTATAATGCACTCGTGACAGAAAAATCTTGCTGGATTTCACATGGATGTGGAGCCCATCCATCCGCTAGTAAGATCCAAAGCTGGGAGCAGCCGTATATTTGATTATTGACCTTCCTATCCTCTGTTCTTGGTTCAGAAGCATGTTTGGTGTTGCAATCCTGAGGGCTGATCCTGGTCATATGCATTCTGAGACCGCCAATCGCCGTTGACATGTTCCACCAATTATCGATTCCTGCGAGATTCACACAGCTTTTGTTTGTTTTTCTTTTGTTATATTGGGCATTTTCAATTTTAACGCCTAGACTTCCATATATTTTAGATTCTGATACCCCAAGGTTTAATTTGCTCGAAAATTTCCCCATAGCTTTTAAGAGGCGATTAGAACTGTGATCAAACGATGATGAGGACCAATAAAAAAAGAGTCTAAATCTCATTAAAACTGTCAGCATGCAAGTGGACCCTCATGAATGCGAATTTGCTTCCTGTGGCATGGAACGAGAAGTATTAAAAAAAAAGGGGGAAATGTGTCTAGGCCTAAAAAAAAGCTGTTGTGACCCAGCCTCTCAATGTTTTTTTCATGCGCTTTAACTCAAAAAACCCCAAAAAATATGGTCCGACTCATTTTCACACTCTCCCAGGAATTAATTCCAAAAGATTCTGAAAATACCCCTTCCCTTTTCTTCTTCTTCTCCTCCTCCTCTGTGACTTTCTCCTCCTCCTCTCCCCAAACTGCTCATTTCTCTTCTTCTTCTCTCCCCTCTCTCTTCTCTTGTAAGAGTCAGAGAGGAGACGCCATGCCCGGGCTCAGTGTTTACAATGAGATTGCGGCCATTGAGAAGAAAGTGGGGTTTGAGGTCTTGGAGGAGGAGGACCTAGCGAAGCCCCCGGCTGGGCCGTGGTGGACGAGGCTGAAGATGGGGAAGATCGCTTACTAGAGGAACCATGTGCTTGTCAACGTCATGACCTTCCTGAGGATTGCGCCGAAAGGAGTTGTGGAGGTCCATGAGATGTTGTATGAGACCGCGATTCATCTCGCCAACGGAGGGGATAAGGGGATTTTCACCCCTATGCACATGATTCTCCGCAGAAAACCCATTGAGAAGAATTGAGGGAGGGTTGATTTCATTGTCAGCGAGTTGGGTTGGGTTTTGGGGATTTGTTATCATCTCTTTCTTGTGTTTCTTAGTTGTAGCTTCATTTTATTGGTGTATGTTTAATTTCTGTTGTTGACGGTGATGATGATGATGATGCTATGTTTGAAAAATCACCAATGGGGTTAATTGTGCAGTGAATTAATGTGAATTAAAAGCTAAAGAAATGTTACTAAAAAGAGTATCGTTCTCGACTCGTTAGAGTATGTGGATCCAGGGGGGGGGGAGCTTTGCGCTTTGTGCCGCACTGAATAAAAGTTTTGAAACTCTACGCACAGCACAACGTTCTTCTCTTCTGGTCACCTTGGCTTTTAGCATGGGGTTTTAGCATGAAAAGCCAACTAGATTTTATCCATCAAGACTCTTACATTTGTGACTTGACTTGCATGGTGTCGTTAGGCGAGAAGGCTATGTTGTCAATGCTAAGTTCTATAACAAGTTTTTTGAACTAAAATTCGATGTGTTTGAAAGACTGAAAGTCCCTCAAGATGATTTATCACTGATATATAAATCTTAGAGGCACCCGAATCTGAGTATTTCTATTGATAGTGAAGATGATTTGAAGTGCACGGTAGAGCATAATCGAAATAGTATTTGTATGGAGATTTATATGCAAGCTGTTGTTAAATATAGAGGGTTCTATTTAAAAAAATCAGAAAGTTCTAACTGAAATGTAAGTAATTAATAAACCCTTTTTAAAAATTGGCTTTGTGTGATGTTAGTTTTGTGATTTTAGATTCCACATCATAGACAAATCGTAAATATTAACTTTAACGTTTACATGTTAACTCTTCCTATCGTGTGTTAAATATCATAACTATATGTTAACTTTTATCAGAGCATGTTAACTATAATAGTTATATGTTGACTTTTAACTGAAAGTGTTAACTTTCCTCCTAGTCTGTTAACTTTTCATACTGAATGTTAACTTTCACTGCTTTATGTTACCTTTCATCCAAACCTGTTAATTTTCACTGTTTTATTTTCGTAGAAGCATTTAAAAAAAGCTATGACCAAGTCTTTTATCTTATCCTAGATTATGAGAAGCGAAGTGTGTTAAGAGATAAAATCGAGATATTGCCACCAATTACTACTAAAAGGAAGGGAAGAAATAGAACTAAACGTATAAACAACAGAGAAATTTACAAACGTCCACTGAAATATTCTCGATGCAAAGCTGAAGGTCACAATCAAGCTAATTGTAACGAAGCAATTGGTGATTGGTGTGGATTGCTTATTAGACAATATTTTTGGTAGAGCAATGCAGGTTGTCAAGACTTTTATAGCACATTGTAGAAGGTTTTTGTAATCTAAGATTGTAAGTCTAATTATATCGTGTATTCAAGCAATATCAGCTGTAAGAATGTAAGAATTTTATTATGGTGAACGTTAACATGTTCAGTTGAAAGTTAACATGTTATGAAGAACGTTAACATATTATGGTGAAAGTTAACATGTAATAGTTAATGTTAACATATTATGATGAAAGTTAATATGTTCAGTTGATAATTAACATGTTATGAAGAAAGTTAACATATTATTATGAAAGTTAATATATTAGGATGAAAGTTAACTTCTTCAGATTAAAGTTAACATAGCCAAATGAAAGGTAACATGTTTAGCAGAAAGTTATCCAGCTGAAATTAATTATAAAACTTCTTACATTCTTACATGCAATATTGCTTGAGTACAAAATATGATTATTCTTACAGATTCACAAATTACAACTTTGATGAAACACAAACAAACTTGCGAGATCCGATTAAACTGGGTTTTAAAGTATAAGTTTAATATCCACTTTTATTAATTATTATGGCCCCAACTAAGAACTTGTAGACCTTGTTTTTCACCTCTACAACACTGTAACCAATAGTTTTCTTTACTCATTTCCTTTTCATCAATGATCGAATTCTATTGGCCTCTTCAATCTTGCCCAAAGATGTGTAAACATTCGACAAGAGAATGTAGTGTCCCAAGTTCTTGGCATCAAGCTCAAAAAGAGATCTTGCTGCTAATTCTGCAATCTTTACATCTGGATACATTCTACAAGCTCCAAGCAATGCACTCCAAACACTCGAGTCTGGCTGTATCGACATTCTTTCTATGAAATTACGAGCTTCTATAAGCTTTCCTGCTCTCCCCAAGAGATCGACCATACAAGCATAATGCTCTGCTCTAGGAACGATAAGAATGTAAGAATTTTATTATGGTGAACGTTAACATGTTCAGTTGAAAGTTAACATGTTATGAAGAACGTTAACATATTATGGTGAAAGTTAACATGTAATAGTTAATGTTAACATATTATGATGAAAGTTAATATGTTCAGTTGATAATTAACATGTTATGAAGAAAGTTAACATATTATTATGAAAGTTAATATATTAGGATGAAAGTTAACTTCTTCAGATTAAAGTTAACATAGCCAAATGAAAGGTAACATGTTTAGCAGAAAGTTATCCAGCTGAAATTAATTATAAAACTTCTTACATTCTTACATGCAATATTGCTTGAGTACAAAATATGATTATTCTTACAGATTCACAAATTACAACTTTGATGAAACACAAACAAACTTGCGAGATCCGATTAAACTGGGTTTTAAAGTATAAGTTTAATATCCACTTTTATTAATTATTATGGCCCCAACTAAGAACTTGTAGACCTTGTTTTTCACCTCTACAACACTGTAACCAATAGTTTTCTTTACTCATTTCCTTTTCATCAATGATCGAATTCTATTGGCCTCTTCAATCTTGCCCAAAGATGTGTAAACATTCGACAAGAGAATGTAGTGTCCCAAGTTCTTGGCATCAAGCTCAAAAAGAGATCTTGCTGCTAATTCTGCAATCTTTACATCTGGATACATTCTACAAGCTCCAAGCAATGCACTCCAAACACTCGAGTCTGGCTGTATCGACATTCTTTCTATGAAATTACGAGCTTCTATAAGCTTTCCTGCTCTCCCCAAGAGATCGACCATACAAGCATAATGCTCTGCTCTAGGAACGATTCCAAACTCTTTCTCCATAGAATTAAAGCATTCCCACCCTTCATTGGTCAAGCCCGAATGGCTACAGGTTGAAAGAACAACAACAAATACAATGTAATCGGGTTTTATTAGACTTTTCATTTTATCAAAGAGCTCAAGAGCATCCTTTACAAATCCATGCATTTCGTAACCTGAGATCATTGTGCTCCATGAAATCAAGTTCCTATCCTTCATCCTATCAAACAATCTTCAAGCAGTCCTCAGCCTCTCTCTCTTCACATAGAGATCAACAAGAGTCGTACCCCACCATAATGTTCTTCTCATGAAAGCTCCTAACCACAACCCCATGAATGAACTGAGCCTGCCTAAGTGCCCCCAGAGTCGAATTTTCACAAGCCCCCGATCATACCAAGTGAAGCCACATAGTCGATAACGATCCCGCTAACCCTCATCTCCTTAAAAACCTCTAACGCTTTAAAATACAAATCGACTCTCCCATACCCCTCAATCATCAAACTCCACAACACCAAATCCTTCTCCACCATCCCATCAAAGACCATCCTCGCAAACCCTACCCTCCCACACCTGGAATACATCCCTATCATCACATTCTTAATACAAACATCCTCATCAAGCCTCTCCCTTCTCACCATTTCCCTCAATTCATCGACCTCTCTAGCCTTCGAGACACAACCCATCACATTCAAAAAAGTGGGTCAGCTTTTCATGCACAATAGGGCCACCATTGCCTCGTTACTATCCTCATCCTCATATGAGGAGGATGTTAGAGAAGAAGAACCAACGGCGGGGGTATAACGATGCAAATGAGGAGGCAGATGATTCTCAAAGAGCCTCCTTTGTCGTCGGATTCGAGGGACGTCGACGATGAACAACTTTTGAGGGATCTTGTGGAGGGTTGAGTTCAAATCTAGAGTTTTTTGGGTTCTCTTGAGCTTACATGAGTCTAAGCGAGAGAAGAGAGATGGGAGAGAGAGGCGCGTCTGTTTTTAGGGGAAGGGTTAAGGGGTATAGTTTTTGGGGGAAGGTATGGTTAGAGGAGAGGAGGAGGAGAGAAGAAGAGGAGAATTGAGCAGTTAGGGGGGAGGAGGAGAAAGACATAGAGAAGAAGAAGAAGAAGAAGAAAAGAGGAAGGGGGTATTTTCGAAATCTTTTGCGATGAATTCCTAGGAGAGTGTGAAAAGGGGCGATACCATATTTTTTTGGGGTTTTGGGGTTAAAGCACATGGAAAAACATTGAGGGGTTGGGTCACAACAGCTTTTTTGGGGGGCCTAGAGACATTTTTCCAAAAAAAACATAATTTTATTGTTTAGCTCCAGTTTTTCTGCATCCTAACTAAAGTTCTACGGTTTTCTTAATCACAAGTGTTCAAAATTGTGAGAGTCAAATATTTCTTATATTCACGAGTCAATTTTCAGAAGTAATTATTTTTCTCTTTAGCATTGACGAAGCGTTCAAAACAAAACATATCTTTTTTTAATCCTGTTCTTCTTTATCCTAACTAAATTCTACAATTTCAAAATTATGAGAGTCAGATATTACTTATATTCACATAATGATCTTTTCTTATTTGGCTTAGTTTTCTTATGGCATCAAAGATTTTTTTTGATACTTTGCTACCCCAAAGTTTACACCTTTTTAAAATTTGATATTCCAAAATTTTTTTTCTTACACACATTGATACTCCAAAGTTTGTAACGTTAAAGTAAAAAATGTGTAAACTTTAGGATATTAAAATAAAAAACAATATACCTTTCAAATACCAAAGCGACAAATAATTTTTATTTAGAATATCAAAGTTTCAAAATAAAAATTTTGGCATATCAAAATTAAAAAATATGTAAACTTTACTGTACCAAACTGCAAATAACACGTAAAGCTACGTGGCTCAACTAATCGTCTATTGCCACGTAATAAATACACCGGACTCCCACTAACGATACAAAGAAGCGCCCCAACCGACTTTCGTCGGATTCGGACCAGTTTGAGGACAATTCGGTCATTTGCCAGTTACTGTAGAATCATACAGGAGACGGAGGAAAACGTGTTGGAAATTTCCAAATATAAAGTTTGACCCTCATCAATAACAATAACCGCTTTTTCTCCTCTCCTCCTTCCAATTTCAATCCTCTTCAAATAAATCAATCCCCAATTTCCCCCCTAAATTAGGGTTTCTTCTTCTTCTTCTTCTTCTTCTTCTTCGAGATCAGAAATCTTTAGATCGAGATGTGCGGGATCTTCGCGTATCTGAACTACAATGTGGGGCGAGAGAGGAGATACATACTCGAGGTCCTATTCAATGGGCTGAGGCGCCTCGAGTATCGAGGTTACGACTCCTCCGGGATCGCCATTGATTCAGATCTCGCCTTTTTCAAGAAGCAGATCAATGGCGGTGGAGGAGCTGCACGCGGCGAGGATTCGTCGTGGCCTTCGCCCTCGGGCTCTGCTCCGCCTCTTGTTTTTAGACAAGAGGGAAAGATTGAATCCCTTGTGAGCTCAGTGTACACAGGTTTGTGCAATTTCTTGACGTTTTCTATTTCTGTTTTTATTTTAATTCTATTTTATTTCTCGAGCTGGACGATTAGGACATAATTGAAGTGAAACCTTATGTTTTAGAGCTCTTAAATTCAATTTCAGTGCATTATACGGAGTGCTACATATTAGAAAATGAAGGAAAAATTGGTACTTGACTACAAAAAGGTTGACTTAATGCAACCAATTCTAGAAAAATTTCAGCTTTTTATAAGTTTTTCTATGGAGATGGGTTAGTTATGGAAGAATAGAATTTTAATTTTGGTTCATGTAGTGAGGTGCTGTCTTTTCACTGCTTGGTAGATTATCATGAATTAAAGGAATCACTTTATTGGTAACGACTGAAATGCTTATTAGAATTAACCCTCTTTAGTTTAGAGTAACTTCTTCCTCCTACCATATGTAGTTTAGTTAGTAAGGCCTCATATTTCCTGTATTTCTTGCTAATAGTCGAGAAAAGCTTTAGTTGTATGTTGCTAGTTTGCTTTATGCAATTAATAATTTGAATGTTCTTTTGGTCTTCCTAGAGGTGGATGAGATGGACTTAAATTTAGAGGAATCATTTAATGTGCATGCTGGCATTGCACACACACGATGGGCTACTCATGGTGTACCTGCTCCAAGAAATAGCCATCCACAATCCTCTGGTGAATGGAACGAATTTTTGGTTGTCCATAATGGCATTATAACCAACTATGAGGTATGTTTAATTGCACATGTTTCTCTTAATATGCTACATTAGGTAGTGTTGAATTTGTAATGTTTTGTTGCCTGAGAGATACTTTAATAAAATATATTTGTAATATCATAATAAGAATAATGGATATCCTTGTCATAGGAGGGGATTTCCTCCTTGAAAATGATGTGGCACAATCCCCACCATGTGATATTCTCTCTCCTACTTTATTCACATGGTGGGGATTGTGCCACATCATTTTCAAGGAGGAAATCCCCTCCTTTGACATAGGACACCCATTAATCTATATATCTATATATATTTCTATTGAAGAAAACATAATCTTGTTTTTATCAACTTATTCAAATTATCAGTAGCTACAATTGGATGATTAGTGAAGCTTTCTTGGTTATCCTTCAGGTCCTAAAGGAGACGTTAACTAGACATGGCTTCACCTTTGAATCAGAAACTGATACAGAAGTTATTCCGAAGCTTGCAAAGTTTGTATACGACAAGGCCCGTGAAGGTATTGTTTTAATGCTGGAATTTATAGATGAGGTTTTTTTAGCAAACAGATATCTTTACTCTTATGTAGTTATTAAATAGCAAAAGATTATATAAATTTTCCACTTTAGTTTAGATTACCTTCAGCAGATGTTGTTATCATTGGCCAGTAACCTTTTAATCTGTTGTTGTATCACTTGTTACAAACTGTTATTACTTGGAAGTTGGATCATAGAGAATAATTATAAGTAGTATTATATTTCTGTTTAAGTATCTTTCCAGGATTGTGGTACTGTCAAGATAGTTACTGAAAAACTTGATGACCCTGTTTAAGGAATGCACTGCTAGATTTATTTTTGTACCAAAATAGCAGGTTGCAACTAAATGACCAATTTGTCTGTGGTTTTGCTCCGTGAGCTTAAGCTGTATGGCCAAAAAAAAAAGGAACGTTCACCTTCCTGGTGTTCATCAAGATTTTGCTAATAAGGATTTTATTCAGGGACATCTCTAGCACTCAAGTTTGTTTGGCTTCATCAACATATATAGGATCAACTCATAGAGAGTCAACATGAAGGTTTGATGGATGCAGTGGCGCTTCAGTCTGCTTAAGCAGGCTGCTCCCAGTGCCTAAACTGTGGCACTTAAGCCAAAAAAGTGATGTGGACACATCCATCACCTAGGCGGCCACCTGGTCCACATTTTAGAACATAGATCTAAATAAATATTTTTACGGATAATAAGTTGTCTCATTAAGCATTATATATTATTCTGTTGTTGTTTTGACATCCAACGTCTTTGGAATTTTACCTTCATGGAGCTAATACTTAGCTTTTTTTCTCGTTTCTGTCACAGGTGATCAGACTGTAACTTTTGCGCAAGTTGTTACAGAAGTCATGAGGCAGCTTGAAGGAGCATATGCACTTATCTTTAAAAGTTCACATTATCCTAATGAGCTAGTTGCATGCAAACGTGGCAGTACGCTCATCTTGGGTGTCAAAGTAAGTGTTAGCAATGCTTGCTCATCTTTATTTGGATAAAAGCAAAAATTGCTTTGTCCAAAATATATATACCCATGATAAGTGTAAGATACCATTCTCCTATTCTTCCATTATATTATCTGGTGCAGGTATCTAAAACTTGTGTATCTACTGTTGCCCAATGTTATCACGTTAATTGTCACACCATACCTGTTGGAGATCTTCTCTGTGTTCAATTCCCATGCACAAACTTGAAAGTTGGACTTAAGACTTTTTATAGCTATTAAATACAATATAATGGACATGTGCTCCTATCATCATTATCTGTTTTTAAAATACTATAGCTTGATAGTTCATGATGTTATCACCATCACTGTTCGTTTGATATTCTCAACCTCTCTGATATGCCAAAAAAATAACCATGGTAGTTTTGATAAATAGAGTTCCTGGGTATCTCCCAAAAGTTCAGTTTTTATGACAACAGAAGATAAGGCCTTATGTTATCTCTTTTATCAATTATGGATGACTCAAAACTTATTGGATCAGGATCATTTCACTATCTGCTAGGAAATTTAGAACGTATGTTTTCCCTTCATATTAGTATTTTTAGAAGTCTTCATTAACTGTTGTCATCTTTACCTGAGATATAGATGCTTTTCTCTTGGCGTTGATACTTTTAAGAGGATGTACTGTTTATTGTTGCAGAAAACTTCTGATGTAGTTGATCCATTCTATTTGTATTGAATTTAGGATTATTAAAAATCTTGCAGCATGTTTTTCTTCAACCTGACAATATTTTCTATTATATTGAACCAAAACTTAACGAGAAACTTGTTTTTTCAGGAGCTAACTGATAATAAAAACCGCAGAGCATTATTCCATGATGTTAAATCTCTCACAAAGAATGGTCAGCCCAAAGAATTGTTCTTTTCAAGTGATTTATGTGCTATTGTGGAGCATACGAAAAACTATTTGGCTCTCGAGGATAATGAAGTGGTACATATCAAGGTAACCTTTAGTTTGATTTATCATTGCTAAATGGGAATATCAGGTCAATTAACTGTTTTCATATGTTTCATTTACTCTGATGTTCCTATTATTTGTTCCTTGGTGATCTTTTTTTTGCTTCTCATGTCCTCATAATCCATAAATTTTTTAGCTTCAAATTCTTTTAGCATGTAATGCTTTGTTTGCTTGGCAGACATCTCACTGGAATTCGAGCAAGAAGTTATTCCCTAGTTTTTTGTGTCTTATATCCTATGGATTTTTTTCCTGAATAGTTCCAAGGTGTTTGTTACTTATTTTAGTGGAAAGTATGCCCAGTTCTTCACCTGCTTTCTCTTGTTAGAGCATTTGCATTGAACTTTTCACGAAAACCATTAATCAAATATACTAATAATCTGGTATTTGCATTGAACGGCTTTATGTCTTGTTCCTGACTTTTTCAGCGTTGACAGTGATATTAGATATCAGTAAGTGTTACATAAACCTTACAAGAATCAACATGAAAGATCTCCATGTCTATCTGATAGAGAGACCACTGACATACAGCGGGAAAAATAAGTATCAAAAGTCATCGTTGGTATATAAGTCTTGAGCCACATACTTTATACCGTTGAAAAAATGCATCTAATAGATTTTTTTTTTCTGGACATATGGAGGGAACATACTCCCAAAGTTAGGAGGTAGAGTCCTTGTTTCAGACAATATTAAAATGCAGCCAAGGACAGAAAAAGTATTATTTTTAAAGTCAATTGCAAAGGAAGCAGAAGGTTTTCCATGCACTCCAACATGACAAGCCTTCTTCAGATGAAGAGTTCGGGGGACAGAAGATAAAAACTTTACCTGCTTCTTTGCATCCTATTTGAGCAGGTTTTTAAAGGCTGAATTTATTGGAGCCACCTTAAAACTGCTGCTTGCCATTGTCTGGTTGGTCCAGCCGCAGATTCAGGATTGCCCCCCTGTTGTATCCTATCCTTCAGTTTACATTGACAATTATACAACTTTATCCTTCTTATTGGGATCCTACACTAATTCTACGTTGACAATTCTATCCTCCTTATTAGTGCCCTATCCTAATCTAGTGGTGTCATAAGTAGTAAATACAAGTAAAAGTAAATAAAATATCTATAAAGTAGGCAATCTAGTGGTGTCTTGTGATATGACTGGACGATATGGCCGTATGGGGTCCGTCACTGGTTCTGTTGGCCCACTATGTCAGCTTTATATGAATCTAATCTCTCAGATGTAAACAAGTAGCTATAATATTTCTTGCAGAAATGGCCTTTGCAGTTATTTAACAGACAAAATCATAGTATTAATAATACTGGCTTTAACCATATGGTAGGATGATGTGTCACTAGGCTGGCTTGCCTGTCCATATTATGATTTCCATCAGTCTTTATACCATATTGTGGGGACCACAGTATGAAATGCATTTTCCTCCTCTTTTCTATTTAGGCCTTCCCCCTGTTACATTAAAATCTACTTATAGTTATTTAACTGCCACAACCCATATTTAATTAGCTCTATCTCTAGTCTTCTTATGATCCTGTCGATCATCCTGTTAATGCACCTAATGCCTTGGTTCTGATACGAGTTGCCGGACGAACACCCTTGATCGCGGAATTATCAAGAGTGGGTTGAGAAGAAAACGATAGAAAACACATGAACAATTCAGTTTTGGCGAAGGAAAATACCTTCTCCTTGGATGAATATCCGTAAAGAGTAAAATATGTCTCCATCCGCTCGATCTAATCATCAAGCCTCTCGACATTGACACTCCCATCATAAATAAGAATCTCCATCTTGAAGTCTATTTTTAAATTTTGGTAAGAACCCTTACCCCCTTGATGCGGAACAGTCTTAACAATCTTGGCCTCTTTATCAGAATTAGATTCCTCGCCCTCTCCATCGAACTCTATAAGTTTCTTCTTGTCTTTCGAAGAAGATTCCTCTTTTTTGTCATTTCCTTAGAAAAGATTGATGAGCTGTGTAAGAGTTAAACCCATTGTCTCCATTTGTTTCTCCAATGCATCAAGTCTCGCTGAACTATCCCTTTCAATCATCTTCTTCTTCCTTAATCTATGAACTCCTTCCAAAGAATTAAGGATCTCGCCTAGTTTCTTGTATTACGATCGAGTAAGGATCATACACATGATCTCCCCTTCACAGGATCTAATCGCTCTGATATCAACTTGATACGAGTTGTCGGACGAGCGCCCTTGATCGCGGAATTATCAAGAGTGAGTTGAGAATAAAACGATAGAAAACACAAGAACAATTTAGTTTTGACGAAGAAAAATACATTTTCTAGATTATGAGAATAATAGGTTACAAATCCCTCTCTCACAATCTCTCTAGAATCAAGAACAATCTCTCAATTCTCTCTAAACCCTAATCTCTTGGTTAGGATCTCACCTCTCTGATTTCTCTGATTATTTAGAACCCTAAAACAATCCTCTTTATAGAGTTTACAATGTGGATGACAAACTTGTAATTAAACAAACCAAAATCAAACAGGAAAACAGAGTCCCAAACGAACCAGGAAAGCTCAGGAAACCGTCACGGTCGACCGCAAGCCTCCCAGGATTTTTGCACGTTCGCGGTCGACCGCGGCGTCACGTGCGGTGCTGTCGATCGCTGGAAGCTCAAAACGTTTCCTGCAGTTTCTTCCGTAATCTTCGCCTTTGTCGCCTTCAACGACTTCGTCCACATCTCTATTCTTAAGATATCATGAGAATCATCTATCCTCAAGTTCCCATGAGAATCAGTAAGTTCCCGAAGCAAGGAAGAAGATACACCCGTATCATGTTCCATGTATGTTTTTTTGAACACTTGATTCCATTGATATTCAATTTTATTACTAGCGGTTCTCCCTCATCGTTGAATCGTTTAGTAGGTATAAATATGCCATGATGCTTAACTTGTTAGGAGTTGGTGAGAGTAAAGCAAACAATGGAAGATCACAAGTGACATTTGGTTGTTCATTGTTGGATAGAGGTTAATTAATGCCTTAATGTCCTATTGTCATGTTGACAAAGTTTAGGTTGCAAGTGGCAGACCTCGTGTGACTTTGTATGTGGTTTGAAGTGATTGGCAAAGGACGGTATACACGGGCGGATTGAGGGTGGGGTCAGTGGGGCAATTGGATTTAGGGTGGGGACAGTAGAGGCAATTGCCCCAATGACCCCTAAGATTTATAATTAATAATAAGTCCAATTTCTTATTTGTGCCCTATGTATTAGATTTCATTACCTCTCAGCCCCAAGAATCATCTAAAACAGGCCAAAATCTGACCCATTTGCCCAGTCCCTATTTCTAATTGGTTCCCAAATTCTGCGAACCTCTCTGCTCTGACTCTGTAACTGTGAGAGGAGTCTACTCACAAGTTTCAAGCTGTGCACCCATTTTGCAATTTACCCTGTTATATTTGATCTCATTGTTTGGTCATTTATATTGAAAAAGATATCTTTGATAGCATAGACGATGAGAAAGCTGTGCAATGTAACCAAAATATGAAAACATGTATGGAGCAATTATAATATTTTGTAATAAGGACTTCTGTTGACTCTATTTTATTTGTACATATGTATGCATATTTAATTTTGGTTTTATTAATATTTAAGTGAAAATATATACTACATATACTTTAGACTCATCATAGTCTTTGCCACCAGTGACCAAAGTTTCTGGATCTGTCCATGCGTATACATCATTATTAATCTGATCTGTCTGCTTGAAAACAATTTTGTGAAAAGTTGAAAGCAAGTTTTTCACCAGTTTAGGGATGTATGTAAGCAAACGAGTAGAAGTGGGTTTAATTTTTATGATCAGTGCAACTAGTTGTAGCTTAACCATCTACATAATATCCTATTTTATAATTACTCTTTTTTCTTTATACTGGTAGATTATAATTTTGGCCTTTTCCCCCCTTTTCCTTTATTTTATAGATACTTCATTTGTTGTTTGGAAAATCATTATAGCTCTTGTTTGTAATTGTACCAGGATGGATGTGTATCAATCCTCAAGTTTGACTATGGCAAAGAAAAGCCAGCATCAGTGCAACGTGCATTGTCTGTTCTTGAGATGGAAGTAGAGCAAATAAAGAAGGGACATTATGATCATTTTATGCAGAAAGAAATTCATGAACAACCACATTCTTTAACTACAACAATGAGAGGAAGACTCAAGGACCATGGTGTGCTTTTGGGTGGGCTGAAGGAGCACATGAAAACAATTAGGCATAGCAGAAGGATTGTATTAATTGGTTGTGGTACAAGCTACAATGCAGCGTTAGCAGTAAGACCATTTCTTGAAGAGCTCTCCAGTAAGTACAATAGTGTAAGCATTTCTATATTTCATCTTAAGAAACTATAATAACATTTGGATACTGATTTTTATCTGACTTTGGGATAAGGTATCCCTGTCACCATGGAACTTGCTAGTGACTTGCTGGACAGACAAGGTCCGATATACAGAGAAGATACAGCAGTTTTTGTTAGTCAATCTGGGGAAACTGCAGATACTCTACTTGCACTTGACTATGCCTTAGAAAATGGGGCAATGTGTGTTGGCATAACAAACACTGTTGGCAGTACCTTAGCTAGAAAAACTCACTGCGGTGTTCATGTAAATGCTGGGTGTGAGATAGGTGTCGCTAGTACTAAGGTGAACATATATTCTGCCTTTACCTGTTTTGACTATTCTGTAATTTGCTTCCCTAATGTTGCTTTTCTCCTGATTTGCAGGCATACACTAGTCAGATAGTAGCAATGGCTATGATGGCATTGGCTATTGGAGATGACAGAATATCTACCAAAGCTAGAAGAGAATCAATCATATATGGTCTTTCTGACCTGCCAAGTATGTCATCTTGATATTGATACTTCATTCCATGAGTAGTACATATTCAATGTAGCTACCAAAGAACAAATTTGCAAAAGAGCATGACCTAGGAGATGGATTAATCTTTTGTATTTTATGGCAGATAAAGTTAGAGAAGTACTGAAACTTGACAGCGAGATGAAAGCTCTTGCTGAATCATTGATAGATGCACAATCTCTCCTTGTATTTGGTAGAGGCTATAACTATGCCACTGCTCTCGAGGGTGCTTTGAAGGTGAAAGAGGTAGCACTCATGCACAGTGAAGGGATGCTTGCAGGTGAAATGAAACATGGCCCATTGGCCTTGGTGGATGAGACACTTCCCATTATAGTAATTGCCACCCATGATGCTTGCTTTAGGTCAGTCTTGCTTTAAGTTGATTTCGGGCTTTCTCCACCTATAATAGTAGGAGGTTTCTTTTAGAGATTGATGTTTTCAATGTACCTACAGTAAACAACAATCAGTAATTCAGCAACTTCATGCACGCAAAGGTCGTTTGATAGTGATGTGCTCCAAGGGAGCTTCATCATCTGTTTGTCCTAGCGAATTCTGCAGAGCAATTGAAGTCCCTCAAGTTATTGATTGCCTTCAACCTGTTGTCAATATAATCCCATTGCAGGTATTTTCTAATTTACATTGTCCTTTGCTAGTGTTCTGATAATTTGTTGAACTTTGTATATACCTTGAAATTCATCCGCTAATGCATGTGTTATGATAATATTGTTCAACTGATTTAACTCAGAGAATCTTTCTTCTGGTTTCTGTTAAACAACAGCCTCCATTCTTCTAGGATTTTCCCTTATTGGAGATCATAGTACCACATAAAGAAGTTGAAGTCGCCCTGTTGTATGTCTTACGGTATTTGACTATGTGATACGACTTGAAAGTACATCATGAAATAGTTAGCATTAACATAGGTCGTGTCACTAATAAGGTGCAGGTTTTGCTAATGGGAAACAAACTAATATTAAAAGCATCACTCTTCTCGAAGCATTTTCTATGCTGACGAGCCGCTGATACAGGTTCACTTGCGCACCCAATCATTTGTGTGGACATGCTGCATGCACACTCATCCACAAGGATACATGTTCAGGCTGACTTGTCTTGATCTACTGATTGTGATACAATAGGGATTTCAATTATATAGAGTTCCTTCACATTCAATGCTAAGCATGTTTCATGTCATTGATGAGTGACATTAATTATTTTGAGTTCCTTTGATGCAAGATCAGCATGATATTTAAAAAAATATATTTATGTTGGTATATTAAATTAATAAGAAATAGAACAGTGGCAGACTATATATATATAGAGGTAGGTAGATAGTAAACTTACTGCTCTGGAGTTTGATTTGAAGTTAAACATTTATCCGAACCACGGGTGACTCGGATGGTTGGGAGCTTCCAATATGGCTCCCATGGTACTGGGTTTTTCGATTCTGGGCTGGGTTATTGGAAAAAAAAGGTTAACATTTATGAACATGTCCTATTTACAGAACACTATTCTCAATCTTTTGAGGTTCACTGATATACACAACATTCTGTAGACCTGGTTGTTACGTGCAGTTTTCTGCTCACTGCATTTGGACACGTGAATTGCTTGTTAAGGTAGTTTCAGATTATTTCCTTTTACTGATTTATGTTGAGGACATGCTTTGTTGTTACCTTAGGATTTTGAATATTATCCTATAGCGAATTTATAATTTTCTATCTTCTTCAAGAACTGCTCCTTAGTCTAGGACAACTTTGGTTACTCGATGGACAGCTTTGGTCAATAATGTAGTTGGCTAAGAGTATGGTGCCAATTTCTAAAATCCACTGTTAGAAAATGCTGCGATTATGATTGCTATTAATTACACAATATCTCGTGCTTATGCTCATCCCTTTATTATGACTTGCAGTTGCTCGCCTACCATTTGACAGTTTTACGAGGATTTGATGTCGATCAGCCAAGAAATCTCGCAAAGAGTGTGACTACACAATGAATGAAGTATGGGAGCAGATGCCTGGCTTCTCTAACATCCTTTTTTTGGTTTGATTTGATGGAGTTCAAAGAGGGGAAGACTTGAAATTAAATTATGGGATATGTGGATACGGGAACGGATGGTCGTTAATGTATTCTTTGTACCTATGTTATGATTATTTTCTGGAGTGGACAGCCTAATGTCGTTCACTATGCTGTACGTGTACGTTTCCTTGTTACTGCTGCTAACTACTGACCACATTTTTTCTCTTCCTTTCTTTGATTCTTTCGGCTGTGTTTCAATTGAGAGTGGGAATGGAGGAAAAGAAAAAATGAGAAAATAAAATTCTAGTGTTTCTCTAGAAGGAAAATGACATGGGGCAAAATAATAAAAATAAATAAATTATATATATATATATATATATATCTTTCGGCTGTGTTTCAATTGAGAGTGGGAATGGAGGAAAAGAAAAAATGAGAAAATAAAATTCTAGTGTTTCTCTAGAAGGAAAATGACATGGGGCAAAATAATAAAAATAAATAAATTATATATATATATA